CCCCATACCTTGGCATTTATAGGGCTTTTTTTTTTTGCCTGAAGGTCTCATAGGTTATTGAACCACAAAGTAACCAAAATAGAAGATGCTATACCTCTGATGTTCTCTTTCTTTGTTATTTGTGTTTATTCTTTTTGTGGACAGTAATACTACCTATAATTTAACTTTGGATCTCCATCAGAGGCCAGAATCTGCACATTTATTAATATGTGTCATTAAACAAATAAGTAAATAAATATATGTTCGATGTGCAAAATGGAAATAGATATACTCATGGCATAATTTTATTGTGAGGTTTATATATGCAGAACAATATATGTAAAACTTTTGATAAAATGGTATTAAATGGAATTCTAGAGCAGATTATATATATATGGCAGTAAACTAGTTCATATGTGATTTACTAAGTGAAATTACGCACTCATTTCTATAAAAGACATTCTCCCAAACATGTTCTCTACTAATATTTATAGGGATCTTGTATATTAGGTATAAAAACTCACATTAAAGGTAGCAAAGATAATACTCAGGGAACATAAGTCACATTAAATAACAGGAGGAATTGAACTCAGATCTCCATGCTGCATGTCCATCCTTGGCTCCTTCTTTGAGTAGGAATCATCCAATAGCCTAATACTTCCCTCTCTTTATTTTTCCAACAGTTTATTTTTCCAACAGCAGGTATAGCTTTTCAGAATCCTCAGATAGATAACTTAGGCTGCATAACTGAATGACTCCCTTCTTTGGTGTCTGCCTTTTGCAGAGAGGATATTTTCTCTTTGGCGCCGAGTCATTAAATGGTATTAGTGGGGTAGTAAATGACCCTGCAGAAAGGGCTGCGGGTTGTTGTGAGTTCAATTCAGGGGAGTTTTAGGAAGCACCTTTGCTGAATTGACTTATCCCTAACAAATGAAAGCTGATTTCAAATAAGCAGAACACAGAAATTGAGATCTATTTGTTCATTTTTTGCTTTGTTTATTTGTAATAAATGTAAAAATTCATTCTCCAGTAGTGTGATTCCTTTATTTCCCATTTTGTTTCAAATTTGAATATAGCATAGGGGTGTGTTATTTAATTTACATATTCAAATTCCAGAAGAAATAATTTTCACAATTAAATCATGATAAAAATAAGCAAGTGTAGGTACCCTGTAATCTATTAACCACATTTTCCATATTTCTCAAATTTAATAGAAGATCCAAATTCCCTAAAGAGAAGAGAAAAAAATAGATCAGTATCCTAAGGGAAGTGGATATTGCTTTTGAATGTACTTTCTTTTAATCTGCTAAGTGAAGTCCTCAGAAGTGAGCTGCTTTTGCAATTCCCTTTATAGCTTTCTTTATCCTATTCCTGTTTGTTACTACCACAGTTTGTACCGTCCTTCTTAATATCTTGATTATTCAAAAGATGTTCTCTGAAATTTTTCAACATAGAATTTTGGAAGGCAGGAAAGCAGGAAAAAAGGGAGGAAGGAAGAAACTTGTTTCTTTTATCTCTTCCCCATTTTTGCCAAAAGAAATCAGAGGCCTGATCTTTGAGCTGCTGGGACTGTTCTGTGAAAACATAACTTCCTCAAGTTTCCTAGATGAGGCTGAAAGGAGTCTATGAATAATATCTGTAGGAAGTTGTGTAATAGTAGCCTGGAAGACCTAGGCCCACACTGTGCCTCTGTATCAGTCTATGTTATAATAGTAAGGCCAGCCCATTATGGGACAGTCTCTCTTAAGCTGCTCTGTTTAGTGGTGTGTGCCTAAACACCACAGGATATGAAAAAGTCTAATGAGAAAGAGCTTAAAAAGACCTTTGTAATTCTCTTTCCTAATTAGCTTATTCTTGAGAAATAGTAACTGTATTAGGAAGGAATGAAAATATAATTTATTCTACATATTCTGGTAACATTAATGCATTCATAGTTCTTGAAGCCAATAGTAGATGTTTGGTTAATTCACACTTTTCAGCTTCCATTCTTTTAAAGGATGTTTCAGCCACTGAGGCTAGTACTTTCTCTGAAAATGAACATGTATTTTCTCTATTAAATTGGATTCTACACTCTGCCTTCTTTGGTCCTCAGGAAATAATCTTTATGTCATGAGACATGGGAAACTCAGGAGGATTCTTTTCAAAAGAAGGTGTGTAATAAAGAGTTGTCACTAGAGATAGCCAACAAGCCCTGAGACTAGCTCACCTGTTAAGAACGTGCTTGTATACCTAGAACTTGAGCCTACTAGATGTGGTGAATCCCTGTCTTCACTTGTCTAGGGTCTTAAGACACTCTGTATCAGTTTGACCTCTGGATTGGGAACAGACTGAGTAGTTGAGATCAACCATGCAGGTGTTCTATGCCTATGTAACTGACTTTCAATGAAAAGCTTGAACACCAAGACTTGAGAAAGCTTCCCTGGTGAGTATGGAAACACTTCATACAAGTTACTACTCATCATGGCTGTGAGAGTTAAGCATTGCCTGTGTGACTCTACTAGGAGAGGACAGCTAGAAACTTATGTCGAATGTCACACGATCTTATGCACCTTTGTCTTTGCTGATTTTTGTTGGTATCCTTTCATTGTATTAAATAGTTATTATGATTATATGTAACAGATTGTCTGAGTTTTGTGGGTCCTTCTAGTGAATCATGAAACCTGGGGAAAGTCTTGGGGATCCCCAATATGGAAGATCTCATAGGCCTTGGAGGAGTTACGACAAGACACAAGGCTGGGCTTGGCACCCATAGCTCTGTGGTTAGAACACTGGCCACATACACTGGGGCTGGTGGGTTCGAAGCTGGCCCGGGCCTCCAAAACAGCAAGGACAACTGCAACAGAAAAATAGCCTGGTATTGTGGCGGGTGCCTGTAGTCCCAGCTACTTAGGAAGCTGAGGCAAGAGAATCACTTACCCCACAGGTTGTTGTGAGCTGTAATGCCACAGCCCTCAACCAAGGGCCAATAGTGAGACACTGTCTCAAAGCAAAAAAAAAAAGGAAAGAAAAGGCACAAGGCTGATCTATAAACAATTTCAAATGGGGATAATAGATAGAATATAATTAATATATTAATCTAGACCCAAATTAATATTTTAACCTAAATTAGCTACATTTCAGGCCAAATTTATTTGAAAGGTTAAAAATAAGAAAAGTTGACTATCAATTTTTATATAAGACCACACAATCACTTCATTATTCAAATATTTATCTACACTTTTATGTATGTCTTTGTCTATTTCATTGACTCTCTCCCATCTATATCTAAAGTATTTATAACTACCAAATGACATTTTTTTTCTATTCAGAGGTTTGATGGATTTAAGAAGGAAAATTTGAGTGATTTTTGACAGAATGGATTCCCATTCTTTGCTTGAATATAATCTATAGACTATCTACAGATATGATCTTTGTGCAGTTCTCCCAAAATATCATATAATCCTTTTTTAATAAGTCTACTTTGAATATTAACTAAACATTTTTACAAACTTTATTTTTGCTATACCTGGAGTCTGTCTTCAATCTTTCATAAACAATAGAGGCTATTTGTAAAAAATCCCATGCATAAGTAAGAACCAATTCCTTAGCTAAAGTCACCTGAAATTTCTAGGAGAAGGTATAGAGAAAAAATAATGGTATTTTATTTGAACTTACCACTGATCAACACAAAAGAAGCACTCATTCTCGTAAGTGTCACCATTTGTAGCACAAATATATTGTATTACATCAGGACAGTCATTATCATAACTATACTCCATTGGGTGATACATTTTACAATCAGGCTGCAAATAATATAAAATATCATAGAAATAATTAATAATAGATACTCTATTCCGTGCCTGTCACTTCTACTCCACATAAGAATACTATCAAATCTTCCTTAGGCAATTGACTTTTTTCAAGGATATCCTATGTTCTGGCTTCCATCAGGCCTGGTTTTTCTTTTTTTTCTTGCCCAGCTGTCTCATCACCTTTTAAAGTTATAATCATTATAACATACCTATTTAAGCTCAAGTGCAATGTTTTCATGTAACCTTGGTGTCTCAGTCCAAATAACTCACTGTAAGATATTTTTGAGTAGAGATGTTTATGGGTTTGGAAACTACCAGAGGATGGGATGTAAGCAGATCTGGGGTGAGTGAAGATTCTCTATTGGGGGAAATAAATTGGGATTTTCTATTGTTTAGCTTTGTGAATTTGAACATGTGACAGGTGTTATTTCACTCAATGTTCAGAGATATATTTACTTAATGTATTTTATTTGACTATATATATTTATTTTACTAAATATACTATTATATCATGATGCTTGTGATACATTATAGTACAGTAACCTTTATTACCCTTTGTTATAATGGAGCCTCTAATAAAAGCTACTGAGTCTAGAGAGATTAAGGTGAATGTCCAATGTCACGTTGAAAACTTCCATTCTGCTTTATTGCCATATAGTTTTAGATTTCTCAGTTCAATAGAGTAATTAGACTAGAAGGAATATCCAGAACTAAGAAATTTAAATTTACCTTAGGAAATCTGGATTTATCATATGATTTGAAAATTCCTGCAAATAAAGTACAGACACAATAAGTAAAAAGAATAGTTCTCCTTGCAGGAATAGATCATGCTGACTATATATACGACAATTACATTTTAATTAAATTTTAATTTAGAGAATTAAAGGATTCGGATGTTCTTATCTCTTTCTAAAAAGTCAGAATATTTAATGAAAAAAGCAACTGGATATAGCTACTTTTTTAAAAAAGGATTTTATCTAGTCAAAGTAAAATAAAATGACACATATAGACTGCATATCAAACATAACAATAAACGCCAAAGGAATCAGCATGAAATTATATAAGAATTATAATACAACATGACAGAATTTCTCTGTAATCTTAATGTTAGAGAGACTTTCTAATAATGACTCATTAATTTAAGAGCAATAATGGAAAACAGTGATACATTTTATTAAATAAAAGTAAAATAATAGCAGGAGAAAAAATACACACAAACAAACTAAATAGAATTGATAAAGTTATTAACTTCCTTGAGCATAACAACAGTGAAGACACAAGCTACCAGAATCTATGGGATACAGAAAAAGCAGTCCTGAGAGGAAAATTTATTGCCTTAGAAGCCTACATTCAAAAATCAGAAAGTGAGCATATCAACAAACTCACGGGCCATCTGATGGAATTGGAAAAAGAAGAACAATCTAAGCCTAAACCTAGTAGAAGAAAAGAAATATCCAAAATTAAATCAGAGATTAATGAAATTGAAAACAGAAGAGTCATTCAGAAAATTAATGAAACAAGGAGTGGTTTTTTTGAAAAAATTAATAAAATAGATAAACCTTTGGCCAGACTAACTAGAAATAAAAAAGTTAAATCTCTAGTAACCTCAATCAGAAATGATAAAGGGGAAATAACAACTGACACCACAGAGATACAAGAGATTATCTCTGAATACTACCAGAAACTTTATGCCCAGAAATTTGACAATGTGAAGGAAATGGATCAATATTTGGAATCATACCCTCTCCCCAAACTTAGCCCAGATGAAATAGATCTCCTGAACAGACCAATTTCAAGCACTGAGATTAAGGAAACGATAAAAAAAAAAAAATCTACCAAAAAAATACCCTGGTCCAGATGGCTTCACACCTGAATTCTATCAAACCTTCAAGGAAGAGCTTACTCCAATACTGCAGAAATTATTCCAAAAGACTGAAGAGGAAGGAATCTTCCCCAACACGTTCTATGAAGCAAATATCACCTTGATTCCCAAACCAGGTAAAGCCCCGACTAAAAATGAGAATTTCAGACTAATTTCACTTATGAATACAGATGCAAAAATTCTCAATAAATCTATTTAGCCAATAGATTACAGCTTATCATCAAAAAAGTTATACATCAGGATCAAGTAGGTTTCATCCCCCGGATGCAAGGCTGGTTTAATATGCACAAATCTATAAACGTTATTCACCGTATCAACAGAAGTAAAATCAAAGACTACATGATCATTTCAATAGATGCTGTAAAAGCATTTGATAAAATTCACATCCTTTTTTAATTAGAACATTGAGGAGTATAGGCATAGATGGTACATTTCTTAATTGATCAAAGCTATTTATGACAAACCCACAGCTAGTATTTTACTGAACGGAGTAAAACTGAAAGCGTTTCCTCTTAGAACTGGAACCAGACAAGGTTGTCCTCTGTCACCATTACTATTCAATATTGTGCTGGAAGTTTTAGCCAATACAATTAGACAAGATAAGAAAATAAAGGTATCCAAATGGGAGCAGATGAGGTTAAACTCTTCCTTTTTGCTGATGATATGATCTTATACCTGGAGAAACCCAAAGATTCAACCACAAGACTCTTGGAAGTAATCAAAAAATACAGTAATGTGCAGGATATAAAAATCAATGTCCATAAGTCACTTGCCTTTGTATATGCCAACAATAGCCAAGAGGAGAGGTTAATTATGTATACAACTCCCTTTACCATAGTCCCAAAGAAAATGAAATACTTAGGAATATACCTTACAAAAGAGGTGAAGGACCTCTATAAAGAAAATGATGAAACCCTAAGAAAGGAAATAGCAGAGGATATCAATAAATGGAGGAACATACCATGTTCATGGCTTGGAAGAATCAACATTGTTAAAATGTCTATACTTTCCAGAATAATTTACTGATTCAATGCCATCCCTATTAAAATACCAACATCTTACTTTCAAGATT